AGGTTTATGATAGGTTTTCTAGATGACATCATAGGTTTATGCAATCGGAATGAACTCAATCTAGAGAGCTGAATACAAAACAAAAAAAAAGTAAAAATTATTGTGTTAAAAAAATATAATTCCGAAAAAAGATCTTCAAAAGTTAAGCTAGGCTATTGAATTCTGGAAGTCATTGGAGCAAACAAAAATGTTCCAAGATATTCTTGAAGTAAATATTCCAAAATAAAAACTTATTTCTTGTGAAAAATGTAACTTTATAATTATTTACCTTGTATTATATACAGCGGGTGATTATTAAATAAAATATAAATATAATAGTTGTTTAAACGTAAAAAAAATTCAATGGTTGTTCAATAAATCTTGTTACCATGTTTTCGATGAAATGGTTTACTACATTTTTGTTTTTAAAATTTGAAACTTTTTTAATTTTAAATCTATGAACTAGTGTTCAACCATCCGTAAACAATATTTAATCTAAAATATCATACTTCAGCATGAAGATATTTAATCTTTTTTTTTTTTTTTTGCAATTAACAACAAAATATCACATTTAACAAAATATTTTCTATGGAACATTACTGCTATCTCTTGGTAGGGTAAACAATAAAAACATAGACGGTGTTTTTTGTTACGGTATGTAACGGAAAAACTGTTCAGTAGGAGCAAAAAATCTTTAATTAGCATGGTTTTTAAATGCGAAAAATGTGCTCGTACCTGACTGCACCTAAGAAACTAAAGATTCATCAAGGTCAATACAAGATTTTTATTCCAATTACAATTAACTAAATAAACAATGATACAACAATAGCAAATAAAATCAAAGTCGATGTAAATACCAAACTAATTACAATTAGATATCAGTGGAACATTATTCCACTAACAAATCCTACTTATCCATAATAAATATTTATGAATCTGTTATATATCCCAATGATATATAACAGATTCATAATCCCAAACTTACTATTTGGCTATATATATCCCAAACTTACTATATAGCTAAAACAATTTAATAATGGAACAAAAATGAATGGAATAGACATAAAATACTTTATTATAAATTTTTCAATAATGCTACAAAATCCCGAAACACGGTCAAAAGCCAAGAATCATGCAGAATATTTAGTGAGACGAATTAAGTTTGAGAGAAATGGGAATTTAGTAACATTATGCGGAAGTTAGATATATCCAGAGCAAAACTAACACCTAATAAGATAAAAGGGCATTTAAGAGTATCTCAAGAATATTTTTCCTAGATTTTGTGCTGGTAATTTTGTGCTGGAATTTTGTGCTGGTAAAAGGGATTTTTGGTGAATAAATTTGTAAAAAATAATGTTTCTTAACTTGAAAGTTTTTAAAGTTTAAATAGTAAACTATTTTAGAAATTAATAAAAATGCGGTTTAATATAGTTTTTTGTTCTGAATCTAATGGTAATATTTTTATTTTATAATATGTAAAACAATAAAATTATTTGATGAAAGATAAAAATTGGCAATATTTTTCTTAAGGCATTCAAAACATAAGTAAGAACCGGTTATTTGAATATATATATATATATATAAATATATATATATATATATATATATATATATATATATATATAAATATATATATATATATATATATATATATATATATATATATATATATATATATATATATATATACATATATATATATATATATATATATATATATATATATATATATATATATATATATATATATATATATATATATATATATATATATATATATATATATATTTATATATATATATATATATATATATATATATATATATATATATATATATATATATATATATATATATATATATATATATATATGTATATATATATATATATATTTATATATATATATATATATATATATATATATATATATATATATATATATATATATATTTATATATATTTATATATATATATATATATTCAAATAACCGGTTCTTACTTATGTTTTGAATGCCTTAAGAAAAATATTGCCAATTTTTATCTTTCATCAAATAATTTTATTGTTTTACATATTATAAAATAAAAATATTACCATTAGATTCAGAACAAAAAACTATATTAAACCACATTTTTATTAATTTCTAAAATAGTTTACTATTTAAACTTTAAAAACTTTCAAGTTAAGAAACATTATTTTTTTCAAATTTATTCACCAAAAATCCCTTTTACCAGCACAAAATTCCAGCACAAAATTACCAGCACAAAATCTAGGAAAAATATTCTTGAGATACTCTCAAATGCCCTTTTATCTTATTAGGTGTTAGTTTTGCTCTGGATATATCTAACTTCCGCATAATGTTACTAAATTCCCATTTCTCTCAAACTTAATTCGTCTCACTAAATATTCTGCATGATTCTTGGCTTTTGACCGTGTTTCGGGATTTTGTAGCATTATTGAAAAATTTATAATAAAGTATTTTATATATATATATATTTATACATATATATATATATATATATATATATATATATATATATATATATATATATATATATATATATATATATATATATATATATATATATATATATATATATATATATATATATGTATATATATATATATATATGTATATATATATATATAAATTTATGTATATATATATATATATATATATATATATATATATATATATATATATATATATATATATATATATATATATATATATATATATATATATATATATATATATGTATATATATATATATATATATATATATATATATATATATTAAAATATAAACCAAATATATTTAATTTCGATAAAAGTTAAAATATAACGTTGCATTAACTTGAAATACAACGTTTCGCCAACGCAAACTACAATGTTCTGCTAACGTAAAATACAACACTGTTTCATCGTAAGATCAAAATAAAATATTAGAACGTTAAACCAACATAAAACATTTCGCAATACCAGGCGCGCCGAGAGGAAAGGGGGGCCATGAGGGACAGTTTGTCCCGGCAGGCAGATATTTAACGTGCGCGACATGAAATGTAGGTACCAAAAAAAAAATATCATTCGTATTTAATATAGGAAAAATTTGAAAAATAAGGGCGCCAATCAGGATGCTGTCCCAGGCGGTGTGACAACTCTCGGCGACTCTGCGCGATCCCAACTTAAAGCACAAGGCTAGTTTTTGGTTGTTTGCGACGTCACGTTCGTAACCAAAAGTTGTATAAAAACAATGTTGGCTGTCGATTTTGGGCCAACGCAACGCACAATACTGTTCTAACGTTTTGTCAACGTATGCCGACTAGTTGGGACAAGTATGTATTTATCATAGATATGCACTCTTCACAGTGCGTGAATTACAACCAAAATGTATTATTTATACAATATTTACAAGTGTCAGGCATATATAGTATTTATATTTTTACAATTAAGGGATCAATCTTACAAATTTGATACATATGTTTTATATATTGTATATATTTATATATTTAAGCTTATTTCTTATAAAAGTAAACATATTTACTTATGTATGTTTTGATTGGATACCATTTTTTATTTTTGCTTATATAATAAAAAATTTCTCTGATAGCAGTTTTAACTGTAGGATACAGCAGAGTTGGATTTTGGAGATAAAAGCTTTCCGATATCAAGTTTAACTCCTACCGTTAACCAATCTGAGACAAAAAAAGTTCAATTTATTAATCTACTATTAAAATATTTGTTTTTGTTTTTGAGGAAACGCGTCAAAGATAATTTTTTTACAAAAAGACTTACGAAGTTAATGCTACTTATGAAATAGTCGTCTATAAATAGAGCTTGAAGAACTAAATTGCTTACTTTAAAACAGACGTCTATCTAGTGGTTGTTTAATTGTTCACTCAACGTTTTTAGTTCTCTATTTTTCCGCATGTATTTTACCAAAAAATTGTATTTCTTATACATTGTATTGCAAGTCTCTAATTGCAAATTGTTTTACTCTCTTTAAAATGTAATATATTTAAACTGGCTAAAAGTTTGTGCCATTCATTTTAGGTTTTACTTTGCACAAACCGAAATTTGAATAACAGGTTATTAAGTTTGCTTTTATAAACTTTTTTAAAAAGCAGATACCTCATATTTTATTTATTACTTTGTCGCAAATTTGTTCGATTCAAAACGTTTTTAGACAGTTTTTCCATCTTTATTGAAGTTTAAAGCTGTTGGAAAAAAAAGTTTGTGTAAATTATTTATCTTTAAATATATATAATTTAAAAAAATTTAATTTTTGGTGCTACTTGGAGTTTTTTTTTTATTTGTTTTTAATACTGTGCTACCTTAAACTAACATAAAAATTTACAAAATTACCTGGAAAGGGTACTGCAACCCCTATTTTATTATAAGTGAAAATCTATTATAAAAAAAGTGCATTGGAAACTTATGTACCAAAACTGCAAACAATATTACTTGCATAACAGTATTATATTACACTTTTATGGATCTTTTACAAACTGTAACAATGATGCTAATATTGCTTTACTCACTCTCATTTAATAAGTCTGTTTATAATAGAAATCTAATAAATGTTTTTAATGCTCTTTGTTTTACTTATATTTCTTAATCTTGACTTATATTCTTTATAAAAGAAAAAAAATTACGCATTTAAGAAATTATAGTTTTAACTAACTACAAACTTTGGTAAATTCTAAATATCTTTTCGTGGAGCTTTTTTATGGAGTCATATATATAATTGTACAACAATAAACATAAAATATAAAATATTTAACTTTCAATGCATGTTTATAATTATATACCTTTAAAAAAAAATTTGCTTATTATTTGACTTTTTTTTTTTTTCACGGAAAACCAAAAGAAATAATTATTTTATTTTATATTAAACTTACATATTTTTATTTACAAGTTTTTCCAATTATTTTCCAGTTTTTAAAAAAAGATCTACTTTCTAATAAACTTTTTAACTATTATATTTTATTCAAGCAAAATCTGTAAAAACAAGTTGAATACCTCCACAATGAAAAGGGTGCCACATATCAGCCAAAAAATTACAATACTGAAGTCTTTTTAACTCTATCTCGATTGCACATGCATTACATTCTTTCCACTCATTTAGTAAAACGTCTAAATTAAAATTTTATTTTTAAAAAGAATTATAGTTATGAAAATAAATTTTTTTAATTTATTTAACTGAAATTGAAGAGGTTGAATTTAAAAAGAGGTTCAAAATGTGTTCTATCCAAAAAAATGTGTCCTATGAAGACTATTCCTTGATATAATAATTGGATTCAAATGAATCTATATCTAGATTGAAGCCAAAATCATACAATATCAAATGTCATTTTCAATATAATGTTCGTGTGTGTGTTTAAAGTGGGAAAAATAAAAAAAAACATTATAAAATTATATATATAAAAGTATACAACAAATACCAAATAAAAAAACCAATTCACATATGAAAACTAATAAAAAAGAAAATCATTTATTACTCAATATCGGATTAATCGGCATTTTTTTTATAGTGATGGGTTTTTGTTTTTATATGAGTTTGCAGTGGATAAGACTAGTATTGGCAGAAGAGTGGAGTTTTTTTCAAATAAAGCAAGTTGTTTAATAAGGAAGCATCATTATTTTTAATCATTTCTAAATCATCTTTTTTTAATTACAGACAGAAGTAGGTAAAGTTAACACTTATTAGTAAATTATAGCCCCAAATAAACGGTTCTTACTTATGTATTGATTGCCTTTAGAAATATATTGCCAATTCTTATCTTTTATCGAATATTTTTATTGTTTTACATTATAATAAAATAAAAACATTATCATTAGATTCAGAACAAAAAAGTATATTAAACCACTTTTTTAATAATTTTTAAAAAAGTTTATTATTTAAGTTATAGCAATTTTTAAGTTAAGTATTTTTTTTCAAATTTATGCACTAAAAAACTCTTTTAGCAGCACAAAAATGCGGTTCTATGAAAAAATCCCCCGGATAAAATTCTACAGAAATAATCTTCCGAGAAATAATCCCCCAAGAAAAAATTCCCCTGGAAAATATCCCTCTCATAAAAACAAGTTTTTCTTTTTTCTTAAAAATTATCAATATGTAGTTATGTTTTATCTTTATTTATTTTAAATATTTATATAAAATGTTTCATTTTTCATCAAAATGTCAAGTTATGCGCTATTCCTCGAAGATGGCGAATGTGAAACACTAACCCTAACCCTGGCGAACTGCGAACTGATAAAATGTGAACTTTTTTGCGAACCTTCGTCGTATTGGTTTTTAATGATGTAATACTTTATTTATCGTTTACTGTTTAATAGTTAATTTAGCGGTATATTTTAAGAAATTTTAAGCAAAAAAATTATTTAAAAATATATATATATATATATATATATAAAATACTCTTTTTAATCAGGTTATGCCAATGAAAACATTATAATCATTTCAGTCATGTTTTCCCTCCTAAGCAATACTCTGACATGGTTCGTAGTGGTGCTTTCCAGAGCAAATGAAATATAACTGAAGTATAGGAGACATAGCTCACTAAACACTCATAACTCTGACCAAGACTCTAATAATGCATTAAGACTCTAGATCAAATTCTCAAAAAAACATATTCAAATAATTCCTTTTTACTCTCTTTTAATTAATTCTCTATACAAATCTATTCCTAGGGTGGCATGCAAGAAGCGAAATTGAGTCAAGCTCGACTTAATTTTTACATTGCAACCAATAGCGACAGAGTATGGGTTTTTCTCCTCAAAAAAGACTCTGCCGCTATTGGTTACAAAGTAGAGTTCATGTCAAACTTGACTCAATTTTGCTTCTTGCATTCCACCCCTATATATATATATATATATATATATATATATATATCTATATATATATATATATATATATATATATATATATATATATATATATATATATATATATATATATATATATATATATATATATATTTATACATGTATAATAATTTATATATATATATATAGTTGATATGGGTCAAGCCTACTAGGTTATATGCATTTTTGTGTTAGAGTATTATAAAAGTTGAATAAAGCGCAACATAACTAAACTTTCAAGTTTTATCACAAGAAACATAATTTTTCAATCATTTTATCATTTATGTTCTTAACTTTGTAATTAAAAGTCCAGCAGCACTAAAGCATCTATCTGTCTTGATAAGAGACGTAAAGGTTTTAAAGCACAGCTTAGTTTGCTAAGCACTGTTAAACAGTTCTTTGTTTCTATAAATGCAGTCGTTTCTGTTTAAATGCAATCAAAACCATTTATGAAAAACGTTTTCATGATTAAATTAAAATTTTTGTATATTTCTTTAGTCATATTGTTTTTTTGTAAAGGTTATTTAGTTTCACACTATCGCCGCTAACGTTGTTTTTATATCATTTTGTTTACGAGTGCTACGTCGTCAAAAACCAAAAAAAATATATATATATATATATATATATATATATATATATATATATATATATATATATATATATATATATATATATATATATATATATATATATATATATATATATATATATATATATATATATATTTTACAATTTTAAGCCAATATTCTTTGCTACTTGAGTATATATGAATATACATATATATAAATATAAATTTTTATAAATGTATATATATATATACATATATATATATATATATATATATATATATATATATATATATATATATATATATATATATATATATATATATATATAGATATATATATATATATATATATATATTTTACAATTTTATGCCAATATTCTTTGCTACTTGAGTATATATGAATATACATATATATAAATATAAATTTTTATAAATATATATATATATATATATATATATTATATATATATATATATATATATATTTATAAAAATTTATATTTATATATATGTATACTCATATATACTCAAGTAGCAAAGAATATTGGCGTAAAATTGGCGCGATATTGGGTATCTTGGCTAATCTTGGTCAAGATATCCGATATTGTGCCAATATTGTCAGGCAATATTACGCTAATATTATCTTAACAATATTGGCAAACAATATTGCGCCAATAGTATCCCATTATCACTTTAATAATATTGTTTTGCAAATATTGGCGAAATATTGTTTGCCAATACTGGGTTTATATTAAACAGTTAATAATGGCCAATCTTGTTCATTTTACATATTGGTACACATGTGTAACATTAAGGAATATTTATGTCTTTTAGTATTGTTAAACGTGTTTAAATGTAAATAATAGCATCTTTTTAAATAAACAGACATCTTTATAATACTAATTTTTTTACAAAAACAAATAGGAGTTTAAAAATTAGATTATTAAAAAACAAATAGTAGGAAAAGTATTTTTAATTCAACTTTTGCAAAGTGAATCATGAAAAAAAGTATTGGTAATATACTTTGAAACAAATTTTATTAGTATAATAATTAGTTAGAGACTGAAATTCTTTGATTCAACATATACGGATTGAACTACAAGAAATGGTTGTAATTGATTTAAAACATATTGCATCCCTAGAAGAATAGGAAAATAATTTTTATACTTAAGTATCAACCTTAAAATAGTAAGTTTACTCTTAAATGGAAAAACTTTGAGAAGATTTCATCTATAAAACATAAGTTTTATTGTCTATTTATTTTGTTAAAGATATTCATTTATGAAATAAATACGTCATTATTATTGTTTCTAACTGTTAAAAGGTTTTAATTTACGAAGAAAGTACTCCTGCTTGATACCTAATAACATCAATAATACGAGGTAATTATGTTTTTATCAAACCGGGGGTAAATCGCTTATTTGTGACATTTAGTAATTTTCAAAAAAACTTTCTTGAAACATAGTGATAAAAAGTATAGTCTGGAAACGCGGGCCGTTTTTAATTGTTTTTATTGTTTAAGTTGAAAATCGGGTGGACTTTGTAAATAAGGTACAAAACAAACCTTTGTGATGGCTGAACGTTAAAAAAATTTGAATAGTTTTGAGACTTTTTTGAGTTGCATCAAGACGAGTGTGATTCTATTTTTGAAGTTATTGAACAGGATTCGTTAAATAACGTTGCTGAAGAAAAACATGCTTCAGATGCTTCACAAAAAATACTTTCCTGTCAATTTTGTAACAAGAAATGTTTGAGCTCTAGAGGTCTCACTCGTCACGTAAATAGTAAACATTTTTATCAAGTCATTCTAACGATGTTTAATTAAGTCATTCTAACGTTTTATCCGATATTAGAAAAACTAAAATATCAGAAGAAATTTTTGATCTTGAAGACTTTCAGATATATTTAGAAATAAGTGTTGCAAAGCTTTCATCAGATAATTTTTTTAAGTTCATTCAAAATCATTTAAAAGCTTAATTAAGCTGATTAATTTTGATATAGCTAACAAAACATACTAGATTATAAAATAGATTTTATCTTTATTTCAAGGAAATATTGAAAACTTTTATCCAGATTTTTACAAATGTATCTTTGACAAAATTGATTAAATTTTTATAGGATTAAATACACAGTGTTCCACATTATTTGAATTTGAAATGTATAACCATATATTGTCGCATCTTTTTGGTCAATCAGTTCAGAATAATAGAATTTCATCTGGGAAGAGTTTTGAACTTTCAAATAGTGATCGATCTGTTATTGCTTATTTATGTGGGTATGTTTTTAGCACATTATATTGTCGTATCAGGTTTTTAGACATTTATAAGAAAGAATACTATCAACAGTATATATCTATTTTACTTGCTGCTATATATCAAGAAAGCGATGAATTGCCTGAGCACAAACTTGTTAACACGCGTAACAGATCAAGCTTGTGGAAAATGAAAATTAAAGCAATTTGTATTTTTATTATAGCTAAAAAAAACCTTTAAAAAAATGGTTAGTAAGTCTATTAATAAAATTGACAGCAAAGATATTCTATCCTCATTTCTTAAAGATACAAATGTTTTATCTAATTATTTAAGAATTAGTCGTGAAACTGATACTTTTGTTAATGAAGAGGTTAGTTTAAATGTTCTTGAAGACATCTTGAACTTGTATGTGAAAGCAAAGACATTTTACCAAAAGGACAGGCTTAGAAA